AGAGAGAGAGAGAGAGAGAGAGAGAGAGAGAGAGAAAGAGAGAGAATGGGAGGTGTTGAAATGGTGCTTTGTCTTCGATTTTTCTGCGCAATTTTGCTACCTGACGCAAACCATTTTTTGGTCATGATTGTCTCGAGTCTTTCTTTTTTTTTCCTCTGTAAATTGATGGATGACTCAGTCTGTCCTCTCCCCGTCCCTTCTTTCTTCTACTTGGTTGCCAACCTGATGGATTAATTGCCCGCACTCGATCCGTGTATGTTCTCTGGCCAATTGGATGTTTTGATGCATGAATGCTTGTTGTTTTCTTGTCCTTTCTATAATGTTGAATATAGATGAGCATGCCGGTTGATTAGGTGCGTGCTTTATACTGAGCCCACCAGTGATGCCTCTGGGCGATCCGACAGGCCGATGCACTTGTGCCAAATGCTGTGAAGAGTCCCAGCCAAATCGAAAGAAGATCGTGTGCACGTGCGTGTACACCAGGCGTAGGAGGCCATCGCGTATGTACACGCCTATAGGATATGCACTCGATCCGGTTGACGAACGAGCACTTCGACTGTATGGATTCCTACCCCACCCCGCAGTATGAATGTCGAAATTCCCTTCCGGATCACTGATCGTGAGTGCCTGAGGGATCGGGAGTTCCGGGAATACTGGCAGCGCACATGCCTTTCTTCACGGTCGAGGATTGAATTCCTAGAATTTCCATATCACATGGGAACCGAACGCATCTGCGAGTGGGATATTAGGCGGGCCCTAGAGCGTATTCCCCTTTTCCCCGACTGTCCCATCCCATACACGTGTCAAATCATCGCTGAACTCGACATAGCTATCCTTGAAACAGAGTTACCTCCCTATCACCGTATATTGCCTTTCCACTGCTTGACCATTGCCCCTTGGCAAGCACTTGGCCCTTACTGGCCGCAACCCCAGTTTTTTTAGTGTCTGCAAGACCACGCCTACCAAGCATCGAAATTTGTCCGGCAAACCCGCTCCGAGTCGGAAGCCGAGCAACGGGAGCAAAACCTTCGGCTGAGGCCGGCTGCGTCCGATTCCGAAACCTGCGAAACCCGCCGACGATGGCCGCCATAGCGTCCCTAAGGTACACTAAATACGAATCCGCCCCAGACGACGGGACCAACGAAGGTGACCGCCCTGTTCCCCGAGGCCTAAAACGGAACCTCGTCCTTCGCCCACCCGCTTGCATTCATATCCCCGAAACTTGACACAGGAGGTCTCAGTTCCGACCTGGGACTCCACCCCCCCATTTCCCTAAAATCCTTGGCACACCCCTTTTTGCGCACTTCCAGGCCCATCATCACTCCGATCAGGAAGTCGCGCTAGGCATGAGGTTAGGCGTCACAAACCACCCAGGACCATCACCCATTGCCATCTTGGCGGAGTGACCTGACCAGACAGTGGTTGCAGGCACCGGGGCTGAGCAGAGACTCCTACCCCTTGCTCAGCCCTGGTTGAAGCAGACGTCGTGCAAGCCTGATTGCATGGGGACTTCGGGAGCTAGGTATGAACATGCTACTACAGGTCTTCATGAGGGTGCACAATGACTCCCATCTAGCTTAGTTGTGTGGTGATGATAGAGAGTTGGGTATCCTTCGTTCCCTCGTACGTCCCTGGAGCCCGTTCCGTACCCGCGGTAAGGTGCAGTATTTCCTGACACCCCCGACATCCCGTACTGAGGAACTGCTATGCCAGCCTCAACCGTATGCTACGTACTAGGAGGATAGCCAACGCTAGGTCATGAGTTATGGACTGAGTTTCTTATCCTTATGTTGTCTTACTACAGTGTTCTATGGTGTTGATGGTAGAGAGATGGGGATCCTCTGTTCCCTTGTATATCCCTGGAACCCGTTCCGGCCCCGTGGTAAGGTGCAGTATCTCCTGACACCCCCCGACATCCCGCACTAAGGACTGCTATGCCAGCCTCCACTCTAAGCTACATACTAGGAGGATAGCGCACCCTCAATCATGAATCATGGACTGTATGTATTGACCCTCGATGATCTATTAGCCCTGTGCTGTATGGTAATCTGAGAGCAGACAATTCTCCGTTCCCACATATGTCCCTGGAGCCCGTGCCGGCCCTGCGGTAAAGTGCAGTACCTCCTGACACTCCCGATATCCCGTACTAAGGAACTGCTATGGCAGCCTCAATCCGTTGACCACGTACTACGTAGGGTGATGGTCCTCAGTACTGGTCACACTGAGGTAGGACAGTAGGGATAGGGGATGCGCTAGGAGTATTGACATGAGGATGGGATGGGTGGTGGCCCCGCCTCCTCAGAGCGACCATGGCTGACCGCTTCCGGCAATCAATGTGTGCCTAGTAACTGGCCTCAACAACACCCTGGACTGGAGGAAAAAAAAAAAAAAAAGAGGATGACCAGCCCTAAGATACAGTCTGGTATCGAATACAGGACCTTATGTGAATAGTGGAAGTGACCTAACCTATTGACCTACACTCTGAAATAGTCTGTAGATGTACTCCGCTGGACTCGAGTAAACCGGACTATGCATACCACCCAGCAGTCTCATGACAGCCCCGTAGACCAAGAACATCAGGATACCCACCCTCGCCCAGTCCCCACGTACAACAACCATGGACTACCCTTTGGGTGGTGTGCAGGCAGTGTCTGTAATAACTTACCTGCGTCGTCCCAAGGGGGTATGTGTCCACTTCTAACGCCCTGCTGCTGTCCATGCGCAAGGCTGCGGATTTTTGAGCCCGCAACCTCATACCACAATGCAAATTTCCAACCGGTGCTCTAACCACTGAGCTACATCAACTGGACAGTGTCTGTAATAGCTTACCTGCGTCAGCCCAGGGGAGTGTGTCCAGCCGTGCGTCATTCTAACGCCCTGCCGGTGTCCATGTGCAAGGCTGCGGAGTTTTGAACCCGCAACCTCATACCACAATGCGCATTTCCAACCGGTGCTCTAACCACTGAGCTCTTTTGGAGTTTCTAAGGGTTGCCCCCTGCAGGGCAGGGGGGGTTGAGAGTCGCACACGATGGGGGCGGTCATGGCGAGGTTAGGTACCGGATAGGGGGAAGGGATTGAGAGGGGACGAAAAGAACTGCCCCCTGATATAGAGACACTGATTGATTTGGGAGTTGGGGTTGGTCGCTCCCTTGTCAGTTAACTCTCTTCCCTTATCTGTGTGGTGAGGCCTAGTTAGAATAGCAGGGATGTGAAGTGGACCCCTGCCATGTGGGCTGCCCTGGAGGGATGACCTTTTTGTGCAGCGAACGAAGAAATCATTCCAGATATAATCAAAAGTTCAGGAACAAGGATCAACGGGAGTATGGGTGTGTAGCACAATGGAAATTCTCCTTTTCCCCTTCATTGATCAGAACAGCATGACAGTGGAAGCTTGGCCACAGGGGGTCTCTTTGCCGTCCTCTCCTGACATGCTGGCTAGTTGAGATGATTAAAGCAATAACCTCCTGAGGCGAACTTGAGGCGCCGACGCAGACAACTATGTGTCCGCATATACTTCACCCTCAGGAGTAATA